TCAATAATGTTGTAAATATTTTTTAGGGGGCCAGACGGACTCATGTCTTGTTACGGAGACCACTTCATAGTCGGTGTAGAGGCCTGACCACCGCACTGTATTTCTGAAGCTGATGTTGAATAATAATGTATGTCAACTATAATTATATATACATATAGTCATGGGACGTGGAGTAGAGTGTGGGAATGGAGTCAAGAATTGTAATAGATATGGATGATATCGGGGGTGGGAGGGCAGTAGATGGGGAGGGGGGTTGTTTCTGTGTGAAGGGTGAAAAGGATAACTATTGCATTGTTCTGTATACCTGAAACTAACAATAAAAAAAATAAAAAAAAAGACAGCCATTCCCGTCCCTTTTCTCACTATGAAGTTGTAACTGTTCTAATCCTTCAAAACTTCTTTTTACTGAGTGTAACTGTCAAGCTACTATTCAGTTTGGGATACTTTATTTTTAAAATGATATTCATAAATTGCAACACATTCAGCAAAGAATATCAAAATGATATGAGGTCTGTAAACATGCCAAGAGGAGTGTTTGAAGACCTGAAATGTATCACTTGGAAAAGGGGAGACCTGTCAGGCAGGGCAATGGGGGTGTGTGCAGTGGCAGGGACTGTTACTGGGAAGAGGAACCGACCAATTCCATGTGGCTGGAGTGCAGAACTAGAACCAACAGGAAAGATCAGAAGCAAACATGTCCACCTAGCAGGAGGGGGACCTTCCTCACAGCTACCACTGTCCGACAATGTTATGATCTACCTCAAAAAGTGGTGAGCTCCTCATTACTGGACAAAGCCTGGAAAATCATCCAGCAAGGATACTTTTAAGGCAATGGGCAAGGACTGGCTGAATGGTCTACTTCTGAAATTGCTGAGGTTCCATGAGGCTATCACAATCACACCCAAACCTGGCCTGTGTTCTCCAATCTTCCTTAGCACGTCTTTGTAATATTGTAACTATTTCAGTCTCACATGTTTACATTTTCTCTAAACATTCTCCCCCCTTGCTTTGATTTTAAGTTTGAGAGAATGATTTTCTAAGGCTTTGGTACCTCCCTCAACACACACACACACACACATATGCCCCCAAGACCAAAGCTATGTACTTTTACTTATTATTTGCTGCGTTTTCCCTCTTATATCTCTAAATTCATTTTGCTGATCCTGCATTTAAATTATGTAATTATTCTTTTCTTTCACTTAGATTTCTACTTTTTTGTGGTCCAATGCATTCTGGAATCAAGCCTAGTTATTTTTTTCTGTCAAAACAGAACTACAGCACAATTACTTTAATTTCTCTGATTTTCAGCAATAGCCCAGTTGGGTGACCAATACTTACCATCAAACTGATAGTGCATGGTTTGGTGGATGCGTTCTGTGACACTGGCCAGCCAGTCTTGGAAGGATAAGGTCACTTGTGCCTCATCTAACAGCTGACCACAGGCTGACAAAAAAACAACTCTTTAGTAACTTTTATCTATTCTTACAAAATAAACAGTTTAAGTTTGAAAAAGCTAAGGAGTTTGTACAGATAAAAAAAGAACAAGAAGCTGAAATTCAAAGAAATTAAGTGAAATGAAAGATTCTACGATTTTTTTTTTTTAAGAATCCATTTAGGAAAAAAATGAAAAGCTCTAGATTAGTAACCACAAAAAGTTTGCAGCCTTTCAATACTAACGTATAATGGCTGTTACAATGTGTAAGGAGTATTAAAAAAAGGTTGATCCCCAAATGTCCAAGCTTAATTTTTCTCAGTAGAAAAGATATATATGTATGTTATGTTCAAATTAAGTCATTCTGTTTCATAAATTCAGCCTGATAGTCATTAGTCATGCTATTGCTTTTAGGTATATTTACAAACTTCACTAACTTTGGAGAACAGACTACACAAGGTATGATCAAACAATACAGTGAATGTTTAAATAAAGAAAATGTTTTAGCCTTTTGAGCTTCCTTTGCTCGGCCTGCTCCAAACACTTTGGAGTGTACTTTCTTTTCTAATAATGGCCCTTAAGTCATTCTCTACTGCTCGGGCCCGCTTCTGCTTCTTTGGAATGTATTTTACTTCCAATAAACTCCTTTTCTAAAACTTAAAAAAAAAAATTATTGCGGTAAAAGACATGTTGCCATTAATCCCCCTCAAAATAACACCCCCTCACTTTGAACACAGTTATCCCATCATTTTTGCCACTTTCTGAAGCAGTTCTGGAAGTCCTCTTTTGTGAGGGTTTTTAGTTGCGCTTTCATGGCTGCCTCGATGTCCTGAGTCATTTTGACTTTGGGGAAGAGCCAGAAGTTGCACAGTCCCAAATGCAGTGAATAAAGTGGATGGGGACACATCGTAATGCTTTTATTGATAGAAAATGCTGTACCAGAAATGATGTGTGACATGGACCCTTTCTGTGTGATCACAAAATACAGTGATTGCTGCTGCCGAGTGCCGTCCCATGGAAAGGCAGGGATCTTCAGCACAGGAACTGGCATATCAAACGTTAGTAACAGTGTGTGACAAGTTTCACCTTGCTCGGTGCAGTCAGTCAGTCAGGTGTGAGCTATGACTGAGAGAAGGTCAACGCTCCGTGTCACATATTGCTTCTGGTATACTGCAATTTCTGTCAAAATAAAAACATTACAGTATGTCCTCATCCACCTTATTCACCGCATCTTGCACCAGGGGACTTCTGGCTCTTCCCCAAAGTCAAAATGATTCAGGACATGGAGGCAGCCAGGACAGCACAACTAAAGACACTCAGGAAAGAGGACTTCTAGAACTGCTTCAGAAAGTGGCAAGAATGATGGGATAAGTGTGTTCAAGTGAGGGGGAGTATTTTGAGGGTGATTAATGGCAATGTGTCTTTTACTGTAATTTTTTTAAAATTTAAACATTTACCATATTTTTTGATGATTGCTCATATTTGTCTTTCTCAACAAATGTTTATCATTGAATAATTATAAAACATGTTCCTTCTTCAACTTTAAATCTCCATACCAACTGCATGTGGGTAATAAACAACAAGAGGGAAAAACCCTACAAAATACCAGCTGACAAAACATGTCAGTAATTTTTGTTGCACTTATTTAAAAGACACAATTTGGTTTTGAGCATGATTTAAGGCCAGTGGGATAGGACAGACCTCAATCTCAGCGCCTACTGGTGTTTATCTTAGCACTCCTTGGGGGACAATATGGACAACATTTCTCTAGATTTATTGCTTTTAGCTTGTTTTAGATAATATTCCACCTCTTTAATCTATTCGGGGGTAGGGAAACTTACCCTGCCTTTTTAATGAAGAAGCAACCACAGGCTTTTTCAGGCCACTTTTCCTTAGATTACTGCTCACCGCATCTTGAGGCAACAGTGAACTATTTATCTGTGCACCTAAACCACAAACCATTATAGTTTTTAATAACATGTCTGTAGAATATAAATCAATTTGAGATTAACTTCTGAAGAGTCTAAAACACACAAAAAGTCTTTGCTAATTTCTAAGTTACCTCCAGTTTCTAGAAGGAATTAGCATTAGCCTTTATACACAACATTTTAAGTTTCTGAAGCTCTTTATAGGAAATTGGGGGAGAACCAGAATTAAAAGGAAGAAGAAAATTCACCTATTGCTCCCACCTCTCAGACAATTACTATTAATTTTCTGGTGAACTGTCTTCCATTTTTTTCTATGAATAGATTGTTTTTGCTGGTTTTATGATTTTAAGTAGCTGTGATTTACCAGAACTGCCAGGTTTAGCCAAATATTTTTTTAAATGTCAAGCAAATGAATACTTTTTTCACTTAAGTATGTTCCAAATATTGCATGGAAGATACTTATACTAAAAAAAATATCCATTGTTTATCTGAAAGTCAAGTTTGAGCATTTTGTAGTTCATCTGGCTACCTGTGTGTTCTAAACATTTCTCCAAGTTGTTTCTAATTTTTCAATATTATAAATAATCATAAAATGAGCATCTCTGGACAAAATGCTTTTCCTATACCAAGGATTATTTCCTTAAAAAAGATTGATTATTTAGACGTGGACTACTGTGTCAAAAGGTAGGAACTTTATTTTTTGAATTTCAAGTTTTCCTGGAAAAGACCAATACAGAAACATTTAACAACACTCTCTTGTTTTTTTACACTGCTGCCAGAATTACCTCTTAAAAACACAAAAAAATGATGATGTCACTTTGTTTCTGCACCTCTTTCCAACTTGCAGCACCAAAACTCCTGTGCACAACCACCTGATTCACCCCCAGCAACCTCCCTATGGGTAGGAACATTTTTAAGGCTTTTAACAGATACTGCTAACTACTTTTACAAACGATTATGGCAATTTATACTACACCAGCCATGCTGGAGAGCATGAATTCACCTTTGCCTGTGGTCTCATCATTTAAAAAAATCTTTGCTCATTTGGTAGCAAAAAGTATCTTTTAATTTTGTATTTTTAAAACGTTTACATTTCTCTGTTCACTAGTGAGTTTGGAGTTTGGTCCACATCTGTGGACCAGGTAACATTTTCTTTTTGTTGAGAGTCCAGGTCTTTTGACACTTATCTACTAGGGTACGTCAGCATTTTCATATTGATTTATATGAGTCCTGAACTGACACTGGCATTATATGAATAAAATAGATATATAGTGCCATACTCTGAAAATATAAGTAACAATCTATATTTGTAAATGAGTGTGGAGAATTAACCATTGTCACAAGTTCTTTAAAACACTCTATGGATGAAAAACTCATAACACTGTCCTAAGGCGGTTAAGGTGTAAGGCTAGTCTGAATGTTTAAGGAACGAACAAATATGTTCAATAATAAGAGTGGAGTTTGGTTGGATCTTATATTTGGCCAGTAAAACCAACCCTTAGCTTGACTGGACAAAGAATCATCAGTACAGTGTAAAACTTTTTCATGGAAAAAAAACCATAACTATTTCTTGTAACTGCTGAGATTCAGTGAAACACATAAAATGCAGTAAAAGAATCTAAAAATAACGTTAAACAAACCAAACAGCTTCTCACCAGATACTTCATCCTTTTTCCTCTTCTTTGCCTTAGAGGCAGTAGACTCACAAGCTGATACTGTTGATTCTGAATGGCAGCCCAACTGAGGCACAATAATCTCTTTAAGACCTAAAATATAACAAATTTCTGAGTTATTAATACTATCTATGTATTGGCCCCTATGTAGAGAAAAATTAATTTATAAAAATCCAAATCCTCAATGAATTGCCTGCATTAAAATAAGTTCCTTTGAAATGCAAGTCAAAACCACAATGAGATATCTCACACCTGTTACGTCTATTATCAATAAGAAATAACAAGCGCTTCTTAACAACAAGGCTGCCAGGTTCGACTCCCACATGGGATGGTGGCTATGCCCACCCACAACTAAGACTGAACTCAGCACCTTGAGCTGAGCTGCCGCCCGATGGCTCAGTAGATAGAGCATGCGCTCTTAACAACAAGGCTGCTGGGCTTGACTCCCCCATGAGATGGTGGCTACGCCTACCCACAACTAAGATTGAACACAGCACCTTGAGCTTAGAGGCCACGAGCTGCCGACAGGAAGCCAGATGGCGACTGGCGCCCTCCACAATGAAGATTGAAGAACAACAACTTGGCTGGTCCCCTTCCCCAACACTGTTCCCCTCCCCAAAATTCCCAATAAAATCTTTGAAAAAAAAAAAAAAAGAAATAACAAGCACTGAAGAGGATATGAAGAAAAAGGAATTCTCAAACACTGCTGGTGGGAATGTAAACTGGCAAAGACAGTATGGAAAACAGTATGTGGGTGCCTCAAAAAATTAAGAATAGAGCTACTACATGACCCAGCAAGCCCTTTTCTGGGTATCTACCTGAAAAAATTGAAAACATTTATTCATAAAGATATATGTACTCCTATGTTCACTGCAGCATTATTCATGGTAGCCAAGACATATAAACATCCTAAGGGTCCTTCAATGGATGATTGCATAAAGAAGATGTGGTACATATATTCAATGGAATACTAGTCAGTCATAAGAAAAATTGAAATGCTGCCACTTGCGACACCATGGATGAATTTTGAGAGCATCATGCTAAGCGAAATGAGTCAGACATAAAATGACAAGAGCCATATGATTTCACTCATATGTGGAATATAAAATGGAAAGCAACAAATGAACAAACAAAACAAACTCAGACACAGACAACAGTTTGAAGGTTACCAGAAAGGAATGGGGTGGGGGAAAGATGAGGAGGTCAAATGTATGGTGACAGGGGGAGACCAGGCTATGGGTGGTGAGCACACAATGCAATATACACATGATATATTATAGAATTGTACACTTGAAACTTATACATTATTAACCAATGTCACCTCAATACATTTAATTAAAAAAAAAAGAGACTGTGGACCTGTTTAAAAAAAGTTTCTTTAAAGAACAGCCCAAAACATGTTTTTATTCATAGAACATTAACTTGATAGAAGACTCTACAGAGAAATGTAAAACTAAAAAGTTGGGTGCTGCTGTCAACTAAAGATTCTTAAGAGATGAAAATAAAAAGCATCTATAAGATAAAAACGTGTTAACAACAAAAAACTTGATGTAGAAACTTTTAAAGGTCTTCTTTTGAACAAGGTGTGGGTTTTCCCCATCTTCAAAGATAAGAAACAAGCAAATGAGCCAAAATAAAAGGGAATATTTTTGTTCTTTGTTTTTATTAACATAGGGCATCTGTGGAGGAGTAAAATAAGAAATCAAAGCAAAGCTAGCTTGGCTAGATTTACTGTCTCAATGAAAATGTCTGATTCTCTTGATCATTAATTTCAACCAATCAACCAACGAATCAACCAACCACCAACCAACCAACCAACCAACCAACCAACCAACCAACCAACCTTTATGCAAGTGCTGACTGGGATTAAAAGAAGGAATGCTTTTCATTTGAATTATCTAGCAACTGCTTCTGAAGGTTGCTAGTACAATCTCCATATGCCATCAGTAGAACTCTTTCATTGCCATTTTAGAAAAACAGAGTGTGTCAACCATACCACCTACCGCTGGAATCAAAATTTAGGAAGTCTGAGAATTCCTGAGCCAATGTCTCGTCACTGGCAAAGGCACAGATACAAGCAAAGAAATGAATGCATCTCTGGGCTGCCTCATCCTTGGAGGCATTCGACTTGTGCGATTTCAGAGTCTGGCAGGAACAGAAGAAACGGCGCTCAGGCAAGCTTTTGGCACTGATTTTCTGCACAAAGGACGTGTGCAAATACCCCAAACTATGCTTCTGGCTTGCCTTGCATTTCACCACCAAAATGTTTTTAGTAATTCTCTGTACAAGGGGACCTGTGGGTTCTGTGGCTAACTGCCAGATGGTTTGCTTGGTTTCCGGGGAGGCCTGCATTGCATTCAGAACTGAGCTCTTTAGAGTCAGAGGGGTGGCCTCTGCCTGGCAGTTCACTGCCAGCTTGATGTGCTGGCACTGGTTTTCCACAACACCCTGGGTGGCAGCTTTCAGGCATGAGGGAACGTAACACCGTCCAGAGTTCAGCTGAGTAATGATCGTCCCATCTACCGTCTGGATTGTCGTCTCTGAAACGCCTAGCTCCACAAAGCATCGGTAGTCAGGGCCTCGGTCTCTTTGCCGCACTGAGTAGACCTGCAGATCGGAGCCTGTTATGATTTTCACAGCTTCAATACTAGGCTGCTTCCGTGCACCATAACGGAATATGGTTCCACATGTCTTGTTCTTACAGCTCAGTCCTCGCGTTCCATTGTATGTGCCACATCGGGGACACTTTCTGATTCCCCTCAATGTGGCCTTCCCCAAATCAGATAAGAAAGCTGGGACTTTAGTCCTTAGAGAGTTTGGTTCCATTTTTCACAGGCCCCTAGAAAAGGCAATAAGCCCATCAGCATGAGTATATACTCCTTCTCTTTCTTTCTTTCTCTCTCTCTCTCTGTCTCTGTCTCTCTGTCTCTGTCTCTCCCCCCCACACACACACAAAGTTAAAATCACTTATGATATTTAGTAGAGAATGAAATATAAAGAAGCTATACACTATTTTCAAATTGTACCCTCAAACAGAACATCAATTTAAATCCTCAAACAAAATAAAAATGAAGGAAACATTGCCTTCCATACATCTCTATATTTAAAAATATCCTCATGTAACAACTAAAGCATTTCTCTAGGTTCAATCCTGTTCTACACAACCTAAAGTAGTTAACCTAATCTTCACATGCACAATGTTTAACTTGAGCAAGGACTGGAGAATGGTAAAGATTAGTTCTTTCCCTTCCACCCTTCCTCACAGGACCCAGCCCAGTCATACCTGTATCAGCTACCAGAGCATCCGGAGAACAGTGTAACCTAAATTCATAAGACCTAAAAGGTGTTTCATTAGTTTGTGATGATCACAGAGGACAGGCGAAGACATAATCATTTACAGAGTAAAGGTTACAGCTTAACCCAAAGTCTTCTGAAATTTGAACTCCATGGTGTAATAATGCAGACATTCCGCATCCTTCTTGGCCAGCCAATGGCAAAGCTTCTGCCCAGTGTTTCCCAGTCAAAGATTCTCCCTGCCCTAAGTGGAGATCGTGGCAGTCTATAGTTAAAACAAAAAAAATATTAAAGTTATACAAAGACAGAATGATTCTTTCCTCTCAAAATAGGAATCTATGTCTTTCACAAATATTTGAGAAATATTTGACAGAAATTGGTATGGAAATGGTTGTTTTGTTCACACAGGGAGTTGTTGAGAACACCTAGAGCCATGGTATATAATTGGTCACTCATCCTTCCTAATAGTAATGAATTATATTTTTAGAGCGTTTTGTGCTTTTCCAAGTGCTTTCATATTCATTATTTCACTTGAATCTCACAATATTAGTACTTATTTGAGCCAAACAACCACCGTTTTTCAGATGAAAATTAAAAAGTAACTTGACTGAGGTCAATGCAGTTTCCACTAACCCAGTTTGCTAAGAAGAGTGTGAGCCTCTGCTGTTTTCTCCCCACCAATACTATGAAAATTTTCAAACATAAATAGAATTACACAGTGAACCTCCATATAACTCACCCACTCTTCTACAATTAACATTTTACTGTACTTGCTTTATTACATATTTATCCTTTTCCAGTCACCAATCCCTTTTATACTTGGATGCATTTTAAAGTTGTACACAACAGTTCAGCATGCATATTATTAACTCAAGTTCAGTACTTTTAATGCTTATTTATTTCTTTATTAAGCTGAGCCATCCTGCCACCTGTTGGGAGCTCAGCAGCTGCTCAGCTTGGGCCGGCAATTGAACCGCTGTTGCTCAGAGCTCATACTCTTGAGTGAGCTCTTAACCAACTGAGCCACTCAGCCGGCCCTTTTAATGCTTTTTTAAAGGTAATCTGCTTGTGATTTTGAAATAGGTTGTTAGCATTGCTTTCCCACCGTGACCCCAAGGGATGGTCTTGATGAAATATTTTCCCTCCACATCTTTTATAGTCCACAGATTAAAAGTCCACAGAGAAGTACAAAAGAAAAGTCTAAGAATGCCCACCTTTTCATTGGTGCTATGAACTAATCCTCCAACTGTAATATTTGCTCAATATCTACTGAGTGAATGAAGCTTTGTGAAACATGATCTATAGCAGGGTTTCTCCAACTTGGCACTACTGCCATTTAGGGCTGGGTAATTCTTGGCTGTAGAGGGGTATACTATATATTGCAGGATGTTTAGTAGTATCCTGGGCTCTACCCATTAGATGCCAGTAGCAGTCAACCCAGCCTCCCCAAGTTGTAAAAAACCAAAAATGTCTCCCGATATTGCTACATGTCCTCTGGCACTGATCTAGGCACTAGCCTGTTTACACCGCATTTCCTTCCGAGGTCAATAAACTTCTTTAGTAGGTTTCTCATTCAGTCAAACATGGGTTCTTAGGAAAGAATGTTGTTCCAAAGTAAAAAAATGGAGGATTTAGTTTGTCCTTTACTCCCAATTATCTCTGTAACTAAAACTTCTGAGCTTCAGTTTGTTTTTCATTTGCAAAATAGAAAAAAAAAAAGACATATAGAAGAGCTTAGCTAAAAATTACATTGATAGTGATGATTTAACATATCATTAAAGTGGGAAAAAAAGGACAACTTTGCTCATTAAAAGAGGAACTGGTTTGCTAATTATATGTGGTGAAGCCTTAAGGTGCTAGTTTTTAGCATTATCATGGAAATGCCACTCTTTCCTCTTATTTTTTTCTTTACTTATTCCATTATGCTCTGTAGAGCATATTTGTTAGTATCTTTCAAAACTGCAAATGCACATTTTAAAAAAACTTTTAATCTTGGAATAATTTTAGATTTATAGAAAAGGTACAAAGACTGTACAGAGAGTTTTTGTATACTCTTCAGCCAACTTCTCCAAATGTTAACATCTTAATAACCATGAGAAATCTGTCAAAACTAAGGTTTTAACATTGGCACTATTAACTCTGCTATTACCTGTACTACAGACTTTATTTGGATTTCAGCAGTTTTTCCACTAATGTACTTTTTTAAAGAATAAGCTTTTAATTTTAGAATAGTTTCATATTTTCAGAAAAGTTTCAAAGATAGAATATATCATGTATTACCATGGGACATTTGTCAAAACTAAGAAGCCAATGTTGATGCATTATTAATAACTAAACTCTAGACTGTCCTATTTTCTGTTCCAGGGTCCAATTCAGGACACTACATTGCATTTAGTTGTCATGTCTCCTTAGTCTTCTCGGATCAGTGAGCTTGTCTTTTCTTGTTTTCCATAATCATGACAGTTTTGAAGACTCAGGTATTTTATAGAATGTCCTTCAATTTGGGCCTGTTTGATGTCTTCTCTGCATATTCCTTTTGTCCCAGTGATTCCGCTAATAAGAATTTATCTTCCAGATATACTCCACAGATATGTGAAATGAGGGACATACAAGGCTACTCACTGAAGCACGTATGTAACAGCAAAACATTAGAAATAACCTCATGTCTACCAAGAAGGAACTGGTTAAACTAATCATGGCATATCCATGTAACAGAATATTTTCCAAAAAATAAAATACTTTTACAGCTGTTTTTTTAAAAAAGACTGAGGAAGTTCTTTATGTATTGATCTTTCAGTTCTTTAAGCAATGTTAAGTAGAAAAGGAAGAAGTAGAAAAGGAAGATACAGAAAAGGAAGATGCAGAACAGCATTTATAATATGCTGTCAACAGTGTATAAAAGGAAGAAGAAAACATGTATGTATATTTGTATTAGCTTGTAAATGAAATACAAATGTTTAAAACTCTCTAAAAGGATAAACTAATTGGAGGAGTTACCTTATCGGTGAATAGGGGGCAAGCATGGGAGGGAAGCTTTTTACTGCATACCTTTAATAGTTTATTTTTGTTGACCTTAAACAAAGAGCCAGATATCTCTCCAGCAAAATGGGTTTATTTGTGAACGAATAATTGCAATTTGGAACATGTGATTTAATGACGAACCATGTGCAAATTCAGAAAAACAAAGGAGAGTAACATTGTTTTATGGACTTGGGCGTGGCTACTGTAAACAAAGAGTCCATTGGAAGAGACTGAAAATTCGAAGTATAGTGATTTTTCATTGGCTGAGTTATAACAGTCTCCTATTGGCTGAGCTGTTACTGAGCAAGGAGGACTCTTTTCTCCCGCCTACTGAGGTAGTAAAGTAATATCACTTCTATGAAAGATGCAAGGTAGTCTCTTCCTGTTGGGATCAGTAGTATGCCTTGAGTGACACCTGCATAACCGTTCTGTCTTTTAGCTTCCTGACTCCATTTAAAAAAAGATTTCTCTTCATTTGCACATTTTGAAACATGTAAATCTATGATCTTTTTAAAAATGTAAATTAAAAATATTTTAGCGATAATAGAGTCATCTTACAAAACTATAATGCAAAAGCAGACTAAAAAGCTAAAGACCCTTTTATGCCCCATTCCTATAACTACCATTATCCCTACTTCACCCCCAAAATCCCCACCCCTAAAGAGTAACTATAGTTAATAGGCTGGCATATACCCACCAGATTATTTTATGTTTATAAATAAGTAAATATACATACAGATGTAGGTTTTTGCTTTTACAAAAATGAAATTATACGCATTGCTCTGAAGTTTCCTTTCTTAACATTTTATCATAGCTTTCTTTCCCTGTCAGCACAAATGGCTCTGAACACCATTTTGAATGGCTCTATAGTAATCTGTAGTGTGAATATACCATAGCTACTCTAGCTCTACCAATGGTTTTTTAGTTCTAGACATGCTGCAATGAATATCCTAAACATTATCTTAGTAGATAGATGCAAGTATTTCAGAATAGGTTCTGACCATTGTTCCTAGTTTTCTTTTCTGACCATTGTTCCTAGTTTTCTTTTTTTTTTTTTTTTAAAGGTTTTTATTGGGGAATTGGGGGAAGGGGAACAAACAAGTTGCCATCCTTTTGTTCTTCAGTCTAGTTGTGAAGGACGTTGCTTCACTGGCCCAAGTTGGCACCATCATTGTGCTCTTCCCGGGCGAGGCAGATCAGTCGCTCACGCTGGCTGCTGGCTACACACGGTAGCCCATGGCAACCCACTGCAGCAGGGGCTGCAGCCTACGCTGTCACCTGCGACTCATGGCAGCCCAGCTCTAGGTTGAGCTGTTGTTCAGCATCTTAGCTGTAGAGGGCAGTGTCACTGGCCCTCATATGTGGGATCCGAACCAGGGCCCTCTGGCATCCCAAGCCAGTTCTTAACCAATGTGCCACTCAGCCAGCCCTGTTCCTAGTTTTCTTAAAAATTTATTTGGGTACAGAATAAGATTTCATTGGGAGAAAAAGATTCTACTTCTAAAAATGTTTGAGGGCCAGCCAAGTGGCACGTTGGTTAAGAATTGGCTTGGGACCACCAGCTCTGAGCAGCAGGGCCCCACCCAGTTCGGATCCCACCTGAGGGCCAGTGACGCTGCGCCCTCTACAGCTAAGATGGTGAACAACAGCTCGACCTGGAGCTGGGCTGCCGGGAGTCGCCTGCAACGGCATAGGCTGCAGTGGGGCTACAGTGGGATGCTGTGAGCTACCATGAGTGGCCGGCAGCCAGCACGAGTGGCCGGCAGCCAGCGTGAGCTGCTGAGAGCCACTGTGAGCGGCCATCCAATGGCCAGCGACCAATCTGCCTCAGTCAGGAAGAGTGCAATGATAATACCAACATGGGCCAGTGAAGTGGTGTCCTCCACAACGAGACTGAAGAACAAAACGACAGCAACTTGTCTGTTCCCCTCCCCCAATTCCCCAATAAAATCTTAAAAAAAAAATGTTTGAAAAATACATCAATGATTTTAAACATGAACAAGGGGAGGGGATCAAAGTAATTTTAATCAATAAACTAATTTACTAATTTTTAAATTATACAATGTAGAAGGAAAGTTAAGGGCAAAAATGATCATTAAAAATATCTTGTTCATCCTGTCTCATTTTCTATACTCAAATAAATTCCAGGCGGATAAGTACAAAAGGTGGAACTGTTAAGAGAGTAGAATTAAAAAGCGGGGGGAGGGCCGGCCGAGTGGCGCGATGGTTAAGAACTCGCTTGGG